GTATGGTATGGTATGGTGTGGTATGGTATGGTATGGTATGGTATGGTATGGTATGGTATGGTATGGTATGGAATGGTATGGTATTTTACATTTTATTTTCTAGATCAACAGCAAGGCAAAAACTGTTTATCTAACTTTATTTTGACTACCCTTTGAATGATTGTATAAAATATGCTTTAACATTGATTCGGTGTGTCAGCCAGTATAATGTATTAGCTTTTACACCAAAAAAATGTTGCTTATATATAATCAAAAACAAAAGAAGTGTTGTATTGGATCAGATAGGGTAGGGGACTATTAAACATAATATTTGTAACCAGATGAGCTGAAGCAAAACTAAATTAGGTAATGCACTTTATAAAAATCTATTCATTCCAATAATTGTTGTTTTTAAGATTATTTTTAATTTAGTAAAGAAACATTTAGGGATTTATATGTACGAAAAAGGATAGGGGCCACTGGGGGGGGGGATAATTCTGATTTATTTATTCAGATTTTTCCAGTGTCCCTAATCCTTTTTCGTAGATTTTTTTTTTTTAGATTTCAACTGTCTGCAAAATAAACAATATTGGTGAAATAGTCGCGAAATATTTTATTTTGAAGGTTCCATTTTTCTACATCCAGCCCAAGGATGAAGCTGGAGGCACGTACGTCCGATTCAACCGCACTTGTCCGWGGCGGTTTGATGCTCTGCTGTGATTGGTTGTAAACTGGGAAGTGTCCGAAAGCGACCACCTGATTGGTTGGAGGCGTGTCAGTCAAAATCAAACATTTAGCTTTTACATTTTACCGAATATGAAACAGACAGAACATCTATAGCTTTATCATATTTTTTAATAGAAACAAATGCTTTAAGGTTCGTTAAAATAAAAAAAATATGCTGTATTCTGTGCTGCACAGGTACTTCTACGCACCGCTCATTGTTTTTAGTCTCTGTTGCCCTCTAGTGGTAAAAAGTTATTATTACAACACAAACAGACTATTTTGTTTAAAATGCCTTTTTATTAACAGTCAGCTACAGACCCAGCAGTGGTAAACATAAAGAAGATATATTGGGGAAAAAATCACAAGTAATCAATACAAATGTATTTAAGCCTAACTGTGGGGCTCATAATTGATAAAAGGTTTACAGTTATCAAATAAATTATAACATTTAAATTGCTTCCTATATTCAAAACAACTGATCATTTTGATAGAGTTTAGTTTTGTTTAATATTTGAGAAAYTGTATACATATTTGGCTTTTTTGTAAAAAAGTTGATTTCATCATTTAATTTAGTGCAGTGTTGCTAGAACTGATCAGCTCAGGTTTACAGTTTTAAAAACTGTAATAGAGAATAGCTGGAAAAATATGTATTCTTGTTTCAAAACGATATAAAAAATTCCTGTCAAAATGTAAACGTGTGTTTGGACAATGACCGTAATCACTGAATATTTTTTATATTAGAATATATATTTAGGTTTAATGATTCACAGTTTGTGTCAGAACCTCTGTACAAATAACACTGATCTTTAACATTTTTAAACTTTTCAAAAAAAAAAACACCCTCATTTAGGGAAAACAAAAAAATGAAGACACAACAGTTTTAAACAAAAGTAACAATTCCACTGGTTTTTATGACAAGAAAATGAATGTCAGCACTTTATTTTTTTTAAACAATCATTCATTATGATTTTTTTCACCCCTGATATAGAAAACTGGGGGCGATCCCAGCTCAGCTTGTTATGCAAAAATAGAGTAGATTTATGAACAAGTAACAAAACCATTCTGGTCAAAGTAGCAGCAAAAATGTGCGTCCCATCCCATCTGTGAAGCATGGTGGAGGAAGCGTCATGGTCTGAGTTTTACTACCTAAAGACTGAGCAGATATTTAAATTATGCCAAGACCACCGAGGAGCAGGTTGAAGTGCAGTTTTTAATAATTCTTTTTTAGTTTATTTCCTCAGATATCTATGGTCTGCTGACATCTCGGCAGTAACTCAGGACGCCTCGTAGCACCTAGCAAGATGGCGGTTGGCTAGTCTATTTCAGTAACAAAAGTGACTCAATAAATGAACCTGTTCCTGCTGGCAGTTTGTTCCCTTGAAATGTATAACAAAGCTTTTATTCACAATTAATCATTTTAAAAATTCAAATACTTGCAGAAAAATAATGTCAGCTTCCTCTTTTTGTCTCTGTCTCCCACACACACACATACACACACACACACACACACACACACACACACACACAC